AGAATCAAAGGTGACCTAAAGGGGAATGGAGGTTACCACAAAGTATGCCAGCTACCGAAAGAATTGTTGGGAATTAGTTATGACAATTAATAGTTATTAATTGTATGTGGTGCTCATTTATTCATTTAAGTAATGTTTTTAAATAAATTTGAGATCCTTTTTAAGTGTCATTGCTTTAATTCAAATTATGTATCTATGTTATGTTAAAATTGAGACCGACCGTTTTAAATATTTTTTTAAAACTTGTATGAGTTTGGGAGAATTTTTCTACAGAGCTTCATGCTCACCCCCTATCGCTAACATTTTTCAGATTACCCACTTGAGGAGGACTACGTAAGGGTCGAGGAGCCCGTTACTGGGGAGACTCCACTAGATGGGAGTGTGGATCCCGAGGTGGATGGATAGAGCGATCTCATTTCCTTTTATACTAGACTAGGACATTCTTTTGGAACATTGTGTAGTCTAGCTTCTTTTGTTTATTTCGCTGCGCTTCTTTAATTAATTTTTGAGATGTAATAGCCATGACTTGGGCTTATTCTTTTGGATAATGTTGTAAATATTCGTGGATGACAAATGAAGTCTTGTTTCTTAAGGGATTATATTAGTGCTCTCATGATATGAATGGTTTTAGAATGTAATGCCGTCTAGAGTGTGTTTTGAAGTGTTACAATAGCTAAGCTTTTAGTTGGCTAGTCCAAGGGAAATTTCTTCTTGGGCATGCTAAATCAACTCTTCTTCATTCTTCCTTGCAGTGTAAAGTGTTTGGTTTGACTACGTTGAGTGTGAACATGGTTGTAAGCTCTTGATACATTGTAGACTTGTCACGGGGTATGCTTGAAACTACACCTCCACATTAGCCCCTCATTTGCTACGAATCAATCAAACACCTAGGCACCATTGGTTGAATGAATTGATTTGATTTAGAATTTTCATTGAAATGACCTCTTTGGATTAGCCAACTTTATTTTCTTGCATTTTATCTAAACTCCACTCACCAAAACACAAAACTCACAAGATTTTACACTTTTCATTTCCTCACAAATCACCCTCCACAATAATTTGACCTTTCTTCCCTGAGGAGACAATCTTGGAATACTCATTCCAAGTAAAACATGATATTACAAGACTCTCTTCGCTTGGGAAGCACTTTTGCACACACACACATTTTTGTTCATCCACACACGATTTTCCCCTTTTCTTGCATGAAACCCGAGGGAGACTGACACTCACTAACTTCTATAAGCCTTACACACATAGTCCGGGTTCATGTTTGAAGATTAGGGTGAATCACAATCAAGCACTTAGCTCAGTGGCATCGAAGATCTTATCCACCTGCTGGAACCAATGGTTGGCTACTATCAGATGCACTCATCCCTCAAAAGTTGGTGGTTTGTGTGCCTTAAAATTTTGCAAGTCACTTGAGCCTCCTTGGCTCACATTACCGCTCGCCTGAACCTGGTTTGCAGCCATACTATCCATCGCCATCACGAAGGCCTATTGATTGAAGACCAGTGGTGGTGGTTGGTAGAAAAAAAAATAGACAGCTAACTTAGCATCCGTGTTGGGGATCAAAAGTTAAGATTGTAGAAAAAAAATTTTGAAAAATTTTCTCTTGTTCTAACAGTAAGTTTATGTCCACCTACCGGTTGGTTCCCAAATAGAAAGTTGTTCTACTAGTAGGTTGATTACCAACCAACCAGTAGGTTCCAACATAGAATGTGGAGCTACCGGTTCCTCTTATCTTTCCTACCGATAGATAGGGTCACATAAGTTCTTCCTACCGGTAGATTCCTATACCCCTATCGGTAGGTCAAGCCCCAAAATCTCTTCCTACCAGTAGATACCTACCATTGTACCGGTAGGTCATGCCACAAAAGCTCTTCCTACTTGTAGGAATACCCAAATTCCTACCATTTTTCCTTTTTAACTCTAATGTTATGTTCTTTTATCCTAGTGTCTGATTCCTATATAAATTTAATCATGCATATAATTCACATAAAGCATATAACACACATCACATGTAATATGCAATGCTCAATGGATGCAATCACCAAGACTCATGCCTCCCAAGCCTTAGGTAAATCAAGAACCTAGGCTCTGATACCAAGCAATGGTGCCCTGATTCCCAGGGATCTTGTTGAATCCATTGATCACCCATCAACCTATGGAATACCCGTGAATACCGTATAACCCGATACCACGCCGTTAGGCCCATTTACCAGGATCCATAGTTTAACAAAATTTGGGCAAAGTATCCTTTGTATGGGGAGGTCTACCAAATACACAACCTGTGTATTTATACAATATTGACCACACCGGATCCATTCATCAATATTCAATCAGATAGAATTGATTACTAATCCACAGCCATCATCTATACATAAAATCATTCATAAAAGAATAAATGTCAAAAAGAGTCTCATATATATGCCTCAATTCAAATACAAGTTTTGTTTAAGAAATTTATGCAAGGCCAACATAATGAAACAAAAACCAAAACATCAAAAATAAGAGCCACAGTACAACTCTATAATCAAAGTAGGCCCAAGTTAGGGCCTCGTGCAGATGTCTTTTTAGTACCTGAAATATATTCCCACAAAAGGTAAACTATGCTCAATAGGGTATCTCCTATGTAGATCACCTCTCAACCTACATGCATATGAAATGTCACATGCAAACATCATGTTAAAGATCCATTCAAACATATGAATTTCATAAATGAATATCACAATTCTATGCCATGCTATGAAATGAGAACTCAAACATGCAATGTGCTGGATGGTTTTTCCTAACTTCCAACTCGATCCTGAATTATGTGTATAAGACTTATAGAATTGGTGAGTGTCACTCTCCCTCAGGTTCAATGCAAAAAAAATTGTGTGGATGAACAAAAATGTGTGTGCGCAAAAGTGCTCGCTAAGCGTAGAGAGACTTTCAATGTCGTGTTTTACTTGGAATAGGTATTCCAAGATCGTCTCCTCAGGGAAGGAAAGGTCAAATGCTTTTTAAGGATGATTTGTAAAGAAATGAAAATTGGAAAATCATGTAAATTGTGTTTTGGTGAGTTATGTTTTGAGAAATATGCAAAAAAATAAGATTGGATAATTCATAGAGGTCATTCAAATGGAAATGCCAAATTGACTTCATTTATTCAACTAATGGTGTCTTAGTGTTTGATTGATTCATAAGAAGTGAGAGACTAATGTGGTTGTGTTGGAGAAAAGCATACCCTGTGACAAGTCTATGGTGTATCAAGAGCCCACAACCACGTCCGCACTCAACCTAGTCAAACTCAACACTTTATACTACGAAGAAAAATGAAAGAGAGCCGATTTCACATACCCAAAGAGAAAATTCTCATTGGATTAGTCAACTAAAAGTTTAGCTACTCATAGTAAAGGTAACAACAAACATAATGTAAAGACACATGGTAGTGGAATGAAACATGAAACTTGTATTGCTGCAAGAAAATGTTTAAACTATAAGAGCAAAGTCATTCATACCTAAAATACAAAGCTTGAAGAGGAAATACCCAAATGTAGAAATGAAAATGCAAGAACATTTAGCTAAGCTTGATTACAACTTGAATAAAAGAGATTAGAGTGTAAGAGGGAAAGATTACAATTAAAATAAAGCTTGCCACAATGAAAATGGTGAAGCAATTATAAAAACCCAACTTTTTCTCTCTAAAACTTTATCTTCAACCTTGGAGTTTCTTTCTCTAAAAGCATGTAAAACTTGAATAATGGTATAAGACTCACTAATTTTTGTCCATCCTCTCTCCCTCAGCATGTGTGAACTGAATTGGAATGATTGGAGATGGTTTGCCCACTTCAACAAGCAAGTTCAATCCAAGTCTGGTCTTCCCATGCTTGGAGAGAACAAATCCTCCTTCTCCGAGGCTTCAAACCATCTATCATTTTTATCATCAAATTTGATCATAAAACGATCTTGGGTTCCTTTTGTTGTTGGTTCTCGTTATTTTGGCGGGTTTCACATCAAATCAGTCAAAAGGACATGGGAATAACCAAGTTTCAAAAGATGACAGACAAATTTTTTCATCTTTTCTCCTAAAATAAATTAAAAAGTATATAAATAAATAATGTAAGACCTATCACCTATCAACATTTTTTTTAATTGATTTATCCAAAAAAAATTACAGGATTCAAAGCAAATGCTTCTGGGCACCTAAAGCAGGTGAACCCCCGGGGTATAAATAGGAATGATTGCCAAGTTCAATGGAGGAGAGGAGAGTCAGACCCAAATAAGAAACAACAACCATATTTCTCCATCTGTGCCATCCGTACAAAGATTCTAATTTGGGTACTGCTATGCTTACCAAATTTTGTTATCAAATCTCCATCCCAAATGATGTGGCACAGTTTTTCACCATTAGATGAGTGTGTCTCATTAATGTTCAATGATAGAGATTATGCCACATCGTTTGAGATGGAAGATTTGGTAAGAAAATTTAGTAAGTATAGCATTTTCCTTCTAATCCCACTCCTATCAGTAACATACAACACCCTCCCCCCCTCCCCACACACACACACACACACAGCGAACGAAAAAAACAACCCACACACATTCCAATGTTTTTTTTTTTGGAAAGGAACCCACACTCCAAATTGAACAACCAAAAAATTTAAAAAAAAATGGGCAAGAAGGGAGGGGCAATCAATATAATGCGAATAAATATAGATGATGATAAACATGTCTAATAGTCAATCTTTATTGTACTTCTTCTTTTCTCACCCTATTAGTAGGATCGAGTTCTATGCATACAAAGTACACCCAATAATACATTAAACATAGGGCATGTAGTCTGTGGATGTAGGCACTAGATATATGTGCCGAAGCACGTATATCTTTGTGCTCACTTTCCTTTTCCTTTCCTGTTTCAAATCTCTTTCACATTCTATTCCTTCAATATTTGCATAAACAATACAGTAAAACATTTAATCTAGTACAACCAATCACCCCAACATGAATAATACCTGTCACTGCACTGAAATTTCAGAAGAAATGCAAAGCTTCGAATCTACCCCACCGCTTATCACATAGTCATCTTTCCACCAGTCAACACATAATACCTAAATTCGATAAAGGCAAGGACTTATAAGAATTAATGAATTCAATTTCTAAATACTGTAATATCACCATAATCATGGAAAAGAAAAAGGAATACCTTATCCTTGTGTGAATTAATGACGGCCAGTGGCCACTGCAACAGAAAATTATATCATTCAAAGATCAATCTCATTTTAATCCATGCATATGAAAATAATGAATTAAACAACACAAAGTAAATGAGATACCACGGTTCTGAGATCCCACAACATTACTTTCCCATCATAAGATGCAGAAACCAAGTGAAACCATGACTTATCATGCCACTTGCAAGCTGATATCCAGGATGCATGCGATGAGAACTGAAATACAGGTGCAAGAGTACCTACCAAAACAATATATTTAACGTGAGACGGGATTATTAATATGAGTGAGTCCATTCATGGGCACATACATGACCATGTGTGCATGAACACGGGCACCAGTGTTGGTGTTTGTTCATACACACCCACACGTGAGCATGTGAAAATAGAAGTGAATGGGTGCATCGTGCCTGTCTGGGCGCGCATAAGAGAGAGAGAGAGAGAACCTGGTTTGGAAGGATCCCATATCCTAAGGATAGGGTCAGAACCACCAACAGCAATGAGGGCAGAACTTTTACCTCCAACATCAAGGTAGTTGATGACTTTACCACAATACTGTATGAATAGAGAAGAGGTTATCATCTGATTTTGGTTGAAAAAAATCAGAAGATTTTTCATTGGGACTGCCAAAAGTTGTTGTCATATAAAAGTGCTTCAATGCTTTAAAAAAAAAAAAGCTAGCTGATCCCACATACCATGTTTAGTAAATCTTTGCCTGTTTCAACATCCCATCTTCTAATTGAATGATACCATGATGCAGAATAAATAGTTCCGTGTTGTGGCCAAACCATGGAAGATACACATTGTGTATGCCCTACAAGTGTAGATACGGCTCCTCCATGCATGACCCCGGAAGACTCTTAGTAAGCAAAGCAGCTTCATATGGAACAAAAATACAATTAATGACAGATTAGTTCATTACACATTTACCCCAAAGTATATGCACATACTGAGCAATTTTAGCAGGAAGAAGTTATCGATAAATTCAAATCCTAAAAACCTATCTAAGCATTATCTTATAACTCTTTAAAAGAAAATATTTTTTGCATTTTGCTTATATCAGAACCCTCTCAATATTCACGAATCAAGATGCTCTACGTACTTTTGGCATTCATATAAATTAACCTAAGTCTAGCTACTGCTTAGTAATTCAAGCAAGATTAGTTGCCACTATGAATATTATGTTGGCAAGCTTCAATACATCCATATGAAAACAAAAAGAGTTTTTACAAACACTCCATAGTTGTATTGACTGTTCCCTCTCCCCTCATCCTAACCTACAATTTTCTTTCTTCTTCTTCTAGCAACCAAAGAAAGGAAATCTAAATGTTAATGGTTATCCATCAGGGTCGAATCTTGGGTTATGAAGCTAATCTCTACGAAACAGTCCTAGAGAACAATTTATTCAACTTCTTGTAAAAGTACTCATAAGCCAATGCATTGCTCAGGCCACCCATCAAATTAAACTGCCTCATCATGTTTTGCAGTGCCCTGAACCATTATCCATCCTATTGTTCATAGCATATGAAGAAAAATCTACTCCGAGGTTATGTCGTGTACACTGCAAAGAATCATGACATTTCTTTCAGATAACATTTCTAGTGATACTTACATATCTAACCTTGAACCCAACCTAGGAAAGGGTAACTGAATCCAAACATCATAATTTACATTCTTCATATTCAACTTCAATGAGGATTCCAAGTTCATTACAACCAATTAAGCTTCATTTCAAGTATTTATACCGAAGTATGAATAACATTCTTGGAAACCAAAAACAATTCAATTCCATGGCAAATTCCAACTTTGGAAGTACAAAAGATTTTATACCTCTGATTGAGAGTCCTCATTTTCTGTATCCTTTCTTCTCTTCTTGATTGACACTAGGTCACCTTCTGCATCAAACTCATTTGCCAACCATAGATTAATTCTACAGTCCTAAGAACCAGAACACACATGGAAAACGTAATAAAAAGGAGGAAGTGCATGAAGATAATTTTCACACATTCAACATTGTGTATACAATCATTATCAACAAGAAAGTAAGTAATAATAGCCAATACCATATCTCCAGAAGGCTGTGCTACAATACTTTGCACAGAGGCATTATGCCCACGCAAAACTTAATAAGCTCTAATCTTGGAAGGATGATCCACGGAATCCTCTACATCAAACTTTCAGGGAAAGAGGACGTTTAATAGGAAGAAGGTCTAGTTTTAAAGGAAGAGAATGTGAACTCAACTCTAAGAGCAGCAGTATCTTCATTTACCTTCCATAGTCTTAAAGTCCTATCTTTTGAAGCAGTGGCTAAAAGTAAATCTGCACCACTTTGCACAGCTGCAAATACAACATGACAAGATCAACAGACAAATAAAATCAATGATGGCATATAGAAATGCACTAAATTTCTAAAATCCATAATAGGAATCTGTTATAGAGCACAGAGGAAAAGTATAAACAACGGCTTAATCAAAGAGAGCGCATAAACTTGTTTACATGTTTAAATATTCCTGGGGCTTGCCTTGCCTCAACATCTAAAAAAAGAAAGGGCGGGCGCTGAAAAGGAACCAGCCCAATATAAAGAGTTTATCACATTTGAAAATTAAGGAATTGCCCTGTCAAGCACCTACACATATGTTGTTTCTAGCATCTAGTGAAGACAGAAATTTAATCAAGAAAAATCTAAACAGAAACAGCATCCTGCTAAACCATACTGTTTAGGTTATAAAAATTAAATTCCAAATTTTTCTCTTGTTATATTGGTAAAACCTTAAACACGTTCTTGATGTTGTAATTCCAAACTAAATAGTATTTTTATGTGAATCCATAATATCTTACCCATATTTCTTGGCCTGACGATACTGACAGCGGTAACTGCATCACTGTGTCCCTCCAACATGTGTACAAAATCCAGCAGATTTCCATATCCTCAAGAGGCAACTGCTTCAGGTTCCTATTTATGGAAAACAATAAATAAAGTACAAAGCCGAAAAAATAGAAAGAGTCTCGGAATCCATCAATTTTACCTTCCTAAACTGTAACGCCCCAAAACACACCCTAAATAACATTACATTCTAAAACCATTTATATCATGAGAGCACTAATATAATCCCTTAAGAAACAAGACTTCATTTGTCATCCACGAATATTTACAACATTATCCAAAAGAATAAGCCCAAGTCATGGCTATTACATCTCAAAAATTAATTAAAGAAACGCAGCGGAATAAACAAAAGAAGTTAGACTACACAATGTTCCAAAAGAATGTCTTAGTCTAGTACAAAAGGAAAGAAGGTCGCTCTATGTGTCCACCTCGGGATCCACACTCCCGTCCCGTGGAGTCTCCGAAGTAGCAGGCTCCTCGACCCTTACGTCCTCCTCCTCAAGCGGGTAATCTGAAAAATGTTAGCGATAGAGGGTGAGCACGAAGCTCTGTAGAAAAATTCTCCCAAACCCATACAAGGTTTAGAAAAGCATTTAAAACGGTTAGTCTCAATTTTAACATAACATAGATACATAATTTGAAATAAAGCAGTGACATTTAAAAAGGATCTCAAGTTTATTTAAAAACATTACTTAAATGAATAAATGAGCACCACATACAAATAATAACCATTAATTGTCATAACCAATTCCTAACAATTCTTTCGGTAGGTGGCATACTTTGTGGTAACCTCCACCCCCCCTTTAGNCAATTTACAAGCATCTATCCCAAATTTCTAAAATATATCATATAACAATTCCACAACTAACTAAGAAAATACATGAGATCACAATAACATCATTTTTCTACCCAACACAAAGTACTAAGGTTTCGAAATCCAAAATAAAGAAAGCATTTAGGAAGAAAATACATCACTCTCCAAAAATTAGGAATTTAAAACTAGAAAGGAGATTTCATGGGTATTAAACCCTACTTTGTTCAAAACATGTAATCCTTGCAAAAAGCCTAAGAGAGGATGATTCCATAGCATATATATATACTATTGATAGCTAAAACATACATATATAAATACCCTAGCCTCAATGTAAGTGAATGAGAGAAAACTCCTACCTTGAATCCTTAGCTTTGGAGTGAAGAATAAGAATATTTGATCTTGAATTACCCTTGAATCTCTTATTTTTTTTCCTTTCTTTCTTCTTCTCTAATGCCCTCTAGGGTTTCAAGAGGTGTGGGGGTGTGAGGGGAGTGAAGGAAATGAGAGCAAATGAGATGAAAATGAGAGAAAACTCCAAATTTACAGTTTTGCCACTAAGAATCTCTAATTTGATTCATATAACTACCCTAAGGTTTTTCGACGTTCCGGATTCATTTTTAATGTTATTTTAACCTAAAAATATTTATTCTTATGATTTATCTCAAAAATCAAGTTAACGTACACCCGAAACACTAAAGTTTCTATTTTACCCATCCGAATCGGCTATTAATGAAGTTTTGCGATGTTTGCAAATAAAAGGTGATAAAGGGTGTTTCTTAAAGCCTTTTATACTTATTTGAAGCATAAAAGTACTCATTTTTCTTATAGTTTGATTTAGGATGCAAATGGAGACATTAAATGCAAAACGAAGCTAATTAGACTATTTCGACATCATTTCATTATCTGAGCATAACTCTCTCATCCAAGCTCCGATTGAGATGATTCAAGATGCTATGGAATAATACGAAAGAGTTCTAAAACTTTCATTTTTTTGAGTTTTGAGAGATATTGACTGCATCAAGGTCTAAATCGAGCTTGAAGTTGCAGCAGTGCACTATTCACTGCCTGTCTTCGTCCCTTTTCCATTTCCAATCCATTCCTAAGCCAACCAAATCCATCCCAAACGTCTCCAACACATATTTCTATACCAAACCTATTTGATACAAATTTTAGGACTTAAAATTTCATATTTTCAATTATTAAAACCAAATTTCAACTATTATTTTCACTAACATTTTAAATCTCTACTTTTTCAATCTACCAAATTCAAACACACATCACTACATATATCCACATTTTTTTATCCCAATTATTTACTATATATCTATATACATATATAAAAGAAAATGCGGGGTGTTACAATCCACTCCCTTTAAAGAAAGTTTCGTCCTCGAAACTTACCTCAAGTAGCGAACAAATATGGATACTTCTCCCACATTTCTTGCTCCGGTTCCCATGTAGCTTCCTCCACTCCATGGTGTTGCCACAAAACCTTCACCAATCTGATAACTTTGTTGCGAAGCACTTTTTTCTGGGCATCGAGAATTTTTACCGGTTGTTCTTCGTAGGTTACTCCGTCTTGAATTTCAATCTCCTCCAAGTTCACGATTGGAGTTGCATCCGAGTGACACCTTCTCAACATGGACACGTGGAACACATCATGTACTCCGGATAGCTGGGCTGGTAGTCGAAGTTGATATGCCGCCTTACCTACCGCTTTGATTATCTCAAACGGTCCGGTATATCTTAGCGCTAACTTCCCCTTCTTGCTGAATCGAAACACGCCTTTCTTGAGTGACACCATGAGAAATACGTAGTTTCCCACCTTGAATTCTAAGGGTCTTCGTCTGTGGTTCACATAGCTCTTCTGTCTACTTTGCGCCGTCCGTAGCCTCTCTCGGATAAGTTGAANATACCAAACCTATTTGATACAAATTTTAGGACTTAAAATTTCATATTTTCAATTATTAAAACCAAATTTCAACTATTATTTTCACTAACATTTTAAATCTCTACTTTTTCAATCTACCAAATTCAAACACACATCACTACATATATCCACATTTTTTTATCCCAATTATTTACTATATATCTATATACATATATAAAAGAAAATGCGGGGTGTTACAATCCACTCCCTTTAAAGAAAGTTTCGTCCTCGAAACTTACCTCAAGTAGCGAACAAATATGGATACTTCTCCCACATTTCTTGCTCCGGTTCCCATGTAGCTTCCTCCACTCCATGGTGTTGCCACAAAACCTTCACCAATCTGATAACTTTGTTGCGAAGCACTTTTTTCTGGGCATCGAGAATTTTTACCGGTTGTTCTTCGTAGGTTACTCCGTCTTGAATTTCAATCTCCTCCAAGTTCACGATTGGAGTTGCATCCGAGTGACACCTTCTCAACATGGACACGTGGAACACATCATGTACTCCGGATAGCTGGGCTGGTAGTCGAAGTTGATATGCCGCCTTACCTACCGCTTTGATTATCTCAAACGGTCCGGTATATCTTAGCGCTAACTTCCCCTTCTTGCTGAATCGAAACACGCCTTTCTTGAGTGACACCATGAGAAATACGTAGTTTCCCACCTTGAATTCTAAGGGTCTTCGTCTGTGGTTCACATAGCTCTTCTGTCTACTTTGCGCCGTCCGTAGCCTCTCTCGGATAAGTTGAATCTTCTCCGTAGTTTCTCGAACAATGTCCGGTCCAAACAAACTACTCTCGCCGCGTTCTAACCAACACGTCGGTGATCGGCATGGTCTTCCATACAATACTTCATACGGTGTCATCCCAATACTTTCTTGATAGCTGTTGTTGTAAGCAAACTCCATCAACGATAAGTAATCGCTCCAACTCCCCTTGAAGCCCAACGCGCAAGCGCGTAATATATCCTCCACAATTTGTATCACCCTCTCGGATTGGCCATCCGTTTGGGGATAAAAAGCCATACTGAAGTGTAACTCCGTCCCCATCGCTTCTTCTAGACTCTGCCAGAATCTCGCCACAAACCTAAAGTCACGATCCGACACAATCAAGAGCGGAACACCATGTAACCTCACTATCTCACGGATATACAGCTGGCTCAAAGTCTCGAATGTATCCGTGGTCTTCATACCCAAAAAGTGAGCAAACTTGGTGAGTCTATCCACAATGACCCACACTGCATTATGCCTGCGCGACGTCCATGGTAAACTCGACACGAAGTCCATGGTGATGTGATCCCACTTCCACTCTGGAATAGGCAAAGACTGTAGGACTCCTCCTGGCCTTTGATGCTCAATCTTCACCTGCTGGCACACTGCACATTTTGCCACATACTTGGCCACATCTCACTTCATTCCCCTCCACCAGTATTGACGCTTCATGTCCCTATACATCTTTGTGCTACCGGGGTGGATAGCAAACTTGGAGCGATGACACTCCCCAAGTATCTCCTCCTTTAGGGACGAATCATCGGGAACACATAGCTTCTCCCCATATCTCAACTCTCCATTCTTCCAAGACCATCCTT